CCAATTAGACATGACAGAGATCTCCCCTTTCTGGGACGAGACAAGAAAGTCGATATCCCAGGCTGCTGCTAGAGAACTGGACCGACCTATGGAGGAGCCTGAAATTCTATTGGCAGCAAAGGCCATGGCCAAGGGGAAATGCCCCGGCTTGGACGGACTCCCGCTTGAATTTTTTTTGGCCACTTGGGGGGGGGTTGCTCCTTTCCTTTGCGAGATATATAATGAGGCCCTCCATACGGGTATTTTCCCAAAGGGCTTTACACAGGGGATGATCTCCCTGATGTACAAAAAGGGAGATAAAAGGGATGTGTGAAATTGGAGGCCAATCTCGGTGTTAAATGTTACTTACAAATTGTTTGCCAAGACCCTGGCCCTACGACTAGCAAAGCTTCTCCAAGACCTGGTAGGTTGGGAGCAAGGGGCGTTTGTTAAAGGGCGATCTATTTTTGAAAATATTATATCAACTATCCAGGCCCTGGAGCTTATTGGTAAGGAGAAAAGAGATGTTGCTATCCTTCTACCTAACATGGAGAAGGCTTACGACAAGGTGGGGTGGAGCTTTGTCCACACCACCTTAAGAAAGATGGGCTTTGGCCCTGGATTTAGGACCTGGGTTAAAGCAAGCTACGCACACGCCTCCTCTATGGTAGTAGTAATTGGTAGGCTTTCAAAGGATTTCCAGTTGACCCGCTCGTTAAGACAGGGCTGCCCACTGGCACCCCTTCTTTTTGTCCTTCAATTAGAAATTTTGCAGGATAACATTAGAAATAATCCTGCCATAGTAAACTGACCCCTGTTTTGGAATGGAAAGGGGGGGCAATTGCAGATGATCTAACAGTAGCCTGTGAGAATAACCCTGCAGCCCTACAGGAACTTAGAAAAAAAATTGACACCTGTTGTACCCTCTTAGAAGCTTCCATTAATTGGGATAAATCAAGTTTCCTTCTCCCCTCTACTAAGGAGTTGAGTGTGGACTGGGGTCTTAAACAAGTCCCGACCAATTCTTCAGAACAGTTTTTGGGGGTCCAAGTGGCCTTTTCTGACTGTCCGGCAGCCCAAGATACCATCCTTGCAGACAAAGTCGCGGCCAGAATCGCAGGCTGGGCCCGAAACTTCAAACTCTCACTTTTTGGGCGTGCACTGGTGCTGACATCGGCGGCGTCTTCAATTCTATGGTTTCCCCTTTCAATTCATCTTTTGGGTGAAGGGGCATATTCACGTACTAAGAGGGATGCTGCTTGTTACTTATGGAAGCCGTCAACATCACAACAGTAGGGTTTTGTATGGAAAGTAGCCTAGGAAACTGTGGCCCTGGCCAGGGGACAAGGGGGGCTAGGAATCCTGGACACCATACATCAAAATTGGGCTCTACTGTGTAAATGGGTGATTGCAGTAACATTTGGAATACGATCAAAGCTCTGGGTAAGACTGGCCGAGTATATCCTGGCCAAGGAATGGGAGTTGTCTAGAGACTCAGATGTTTGGGCCTGTTTGTTCATTCGGTCCTTCTCATCTCGTAGACCAAAGTCAAGACTGTGGCGCAATATTTTGTATGCACGGCATAAGCTCTTCCCTGAGGTACTCCGGTCTCCGGAGACAAGGGGGGAAATTCTTAATCAGATCCTATTTGAGAACCCACTAATAGTCTCTTCTGCAGGGTCCTGGCTGAAGGCAGACGGGAGCCCGGGCAGCTTTGGTAAGGCCTGGTTGGAGAAGGGAATCGTGAAGATAAAGGATATGTGGGATACTGAGACAGATACATGGCTTCCAGTGGGAGACTTGAAAAAGAGGCTGTAGCACTTTAGAAACATTGAGCAGAACTATGGGCTCCCCAAAAATAGTATCCCCGATTATAAGCAAGCTTTGTTGCCACAGAGAGTGGAACACAATCAGGGGGCCTGGATTCAGGACCCTGCTGAGAATAGCTATGTGCTGAGAGTGGTAGGACCGGACCTGCCGCAAGGCTTTAAAGTCCAGGTCTGGGAAAAGAAAGCAACAAACTGGTTTACACCAAGTCCGATACTACGTAAGAAAGGAGAAAAAAACTATCTCCACAACGGTTTGGCTCAAGAGGGAGGGCAAGAAGGAAGAGGCTACTCTCGTCTCTGATGAAGCATCCAAGATCCAAGTTGGACCTCTGCTCTATGGCTGGAAAAACAGGATAAATGCAGATTCTCAGATTCCAGTCTTTTCCTATAAGACGAAGATCGGCGCCCAGAGTCTGCACGAATCAGTGAAGAAGCAACCTGTGGCTACAGCAACAGAAAGATTGAATAAAGAACCAGGCTTTAGTCTTGCTAGCCTGGATGTCTATGGTATATGGCGAGCACTTAAATCTATGGTGTCTCAGAAGCAATCCAGCCTAATCTGGCTTCAATCGCTGCTGGTTACTCCTTCGGCCTCCTGGTTGATAGCCAAGGGCATGGAGATAGAAGAACAGTGTGCCAGATGCAAGTGGGGTTGGGAAAATGCCTCCTATATCTGGCTCTACTGTCCTTTCTCTCTTCAGATATGGGAATGGTGGAAAGTCAGGTGGAAACAGATAGCAGGCGCGGAACTCCCCTGGACTCAAGAGTGGATTCTACATGGGATGACTACCCCAGACTTGGACTTTTCCCAGGGATGGGCATATGTAGCCTTGGCTTGCCGAGGCGCTATTATGGAAACCCTATGGAGGGCGCGGAATAAAGCAACTTTCCATCAAGAGATGGTTGCCTTCCAGGCCCAAGTGACTCCGGTGAAAACTGCAATTGGGCAAACAATTCGAGCTGATTGGCAACATCGAGCACAGACCCGAAAGAACCGCTATTGGTTCTCCCAGACGTGAGGCAAGTCCAAGGGCTTCGTCTCAATATCGGCGGAAGGCGATCTGAAGTTTGTGACTGGATTCTCCAGGATAACAGTGGATGAGAAGGTCATGCTCAATAGGCCGCAGATAGGCCACCAAGCGATTTCAATTAGGGATTGGTAGTCGCGCTTCCTTCCTTTTAGCTGCTTTAGCAGTTATAAAAGAGATAGCAGCAATCTGGACTTTTTCTGTTACTCTTTGGGCTTTGCTATAGATAGTAATAGATAGAATGTCGGAGCAACGAAAAGGAAGTATTCATGATTTGAATGTTTAATCCTCTCAGTTGGGTTATTAGCTGCTAGACTCGTGGGTTCCTTTTGTGTATTGGTTTGGATTGCCTTTTGCTGTTGATCTAAGAGCCTACAGTCTTCCCCCGAATACAACGTACGGTCATTGTAGCTGTATCTAGACTGAAAGATACCTCAAATACAGCTATAATGACCGTGCGTTGTATTCGGGGGAAGACTGTGGGAGCTTGATTCAGAGAGCCCTACCTTTCTTGTGATTCAAAGTTTAATTTTGGAGAGTGTTTCTTTTAGGATGGGACGCTGGACCCGGTTTCCAGCAGGCCTTTGATGGTATATTTTGATCAGTTGTTCGGGTATCGAGCGTCAGCTCGTAAGCTAAACTGGCTGAGGATGCCAGGATAACTCCGGGTTGAATTGTGAGGTCCCCGGCCTCGTCCCTTTGTTTTTCGCAATATATCTACAAGCTTCCTAAAAATAAAAATAATAAATAATAAATAAATAAATAAACAAATAAATGCTGAAAGAATTCAAAGAAATGAAAAAACGAATGGGACAAAAATTAACCCAGGCCTAGGAAAATGGCCGTGGCCATTCCAGTCAACCATAATACAGCTGCTTCCCGCCCCTGGGGCCCGAAGTTCAAGACTCTGGCCTCCTAGGGGCCCATGTAGTAACCCCCCACATGCTACACATTTCTCTCTTCTTCCTCTCTCTCTCTCTCTCTCTCTCTCTCTCTCTCTCTCTCTCTCTCTCTCTCTCTCTCTCTCTCTCTCT